TCAGATGTTCCCACTTGGAAGTACTGGTGGCTGTGGTACCCTCTGCAGGCGTTCACCCATTCTGAAATTAGTCACTTTATCCTTGGAACATACTCTTGGGACGTATATGCCCTTCTGTTGAGTCAGTCCTGACTGCAACCCCTCCTTGGGTTTCTGAGACATTATCTCTAAGGAAGTAGATTGCCCAGTCTTCCTTCTGAGGAGTGACTGGTGGGTTTGAACCACCAGCTTTCTGGTTAATAGTCAGACGCCTTTGGCACTGCACTCCCAAACAAAACAAAAACAAACGTACTGCCATTCAGTCAGATCCAACTCATAGTGACCCCTCCTTGGGTTTCCGAGGCGATATTACTGTGGAAGTAGATTGCCCAGCCTTCCTTCTGAGGACTGGCTAGTGGGCTTGAACTATCAGCCTTCTGGTTAGTCAAATGTCTTAGGCACTATGCCACCAGAGCTCCCACTACACCCCCAGAGCTCCTTATATGTACCTTTGGCTAATGTAAATAAAAGTTAACTCTTGGTAGTCATGTTGATATCCCATAGGACATAATCGTAGTTGTCTGGGCCTGGTTGCCAGGATTAATTAAGGGAATGTCAGAGCTTAGGTAAATTGTGGCCTGCTTTACCTCAACTCTGGCCCCACTGCCTCTCACTGTTGTTTCTTAACTGTGCTGCCAGTGTTGGTGTTCTCTGACCTTGGCCTGAGTATAGGAGGCCTGGGACTGGTTCCAGAGTTATCAACAGTCTGCTTGACCCTGTTAGCAGTAAGATGTCCTTCCTTTCGGTTGTAGAGACCATGGAGCCAGAGTGGAGGTCCCTCCAGAGGTAGGGATGGTTGCTGGAATAGGGAGCCTTTTCAGAACTTTGAAAATACTTCCTTTGAAAGTCTCCACAGATCCCAAATCTAAACATCAAGGACTAAGTATAGCTGTGATGATGTTCCCCTTAGTCTCATAGGTGGGTAGTGTAGATTAACTGCCTGCTATCAATAACAACAACAACAACAAATTAGAGGATTCAGTTTGGGAGATCTGATGGCCTAGTGCTTAAGGCATTTGACTGCTAATCAGAAGGCTGGTGGTTCAAACCCATCAGCCACTCCTCGGAAAGAAGGTTGGGCAATCTAATTCCATAGTGATACGGACTTAGAAACCTAAGGAGTGGTTGCTATGAGTCAGATCCGACTCGGCAGCAGTGTGTTGCATTATTAGAGGATTCTGGGTAACTGAGATAGGAAAGAGAGAGAACAAAATATACCGTTTAAATTACATTGTTTATAAACAACAGTAATAGAATTTTGAATTCTTACACTCATACCTCTCCTCCCCCCACAACTCTTTTTACATTATTGTTGATATAAATTATTTTTTCAGACAAGATAGGATATAAATCAATTTTTAATATTCTTTTTATGTTGCCTATCATCATGAATACACAGTTTTTATGGTGTTATAATTTTGGTTTAATTAGCACTATATTCTGTTTTTAAAGGTAGTACTGTGTTATAAGCTCTGTTTTTTTTTTTAAATACATTTTATTTCTTTTCCTTTTTTAAAAGTAAGTCATTCTATGTGCATGTTGTGAAAATTTTTAACCCTCTAAAAAGGTTTTAAATGAATATGTTATTCTTCCTCTCCTGTCTCCCCTCCCCTTCTTTGACCCCAGTCCTGCTCTGCAAATTGAATTCTGTTAACAATTTCTCTTGTATTGTTCTAGGAAAAAAAAATTATACATATATATAAATATGCTTTTAATGTTTTCAGAAGTTGTGGTAGCATATCATATTTATTCTTCCATATCTTCCCTTTGTCCATTAATAACATAACCTCGTGGTCTTCTACTTTAAACTTTATAATTTTTAATGTCACTACTTTCTATTCCATGGAGTTGTATTATTACAATTTATTATTCATTTCTTTATTTTGGGACATATTTAATATTTATATTTTTTGAAGGATTATAAATATAAACAGCATGTTTTGTCTCTATGTTGTTGTTGTTGTTGTTGTTGTTATGTGCCGTGGAGTCGGACCCGACTCATAGCGACCCCTCCTTGGGTTACCAAGGCAGTATCACTACGGAAGTAGATTGCCCCATCTTCCTTCCAGGGAGTGGCTGGTGGGTTTGAACCGCCAGCCTTCTGGTTAGCAGTCAAGTGCCTTAGCCACTATGCTACCATAGCTATCTTTTGAAATATTTTTCTAAGGTAAATTGCCCAAAGAGGAATCAAAGAGCATGAATATAGCTTTTAAGGTATCTTTTTAAATAATTCATAGCATAAATACTGCGTTCTGCAAGGAGTAAGTGTATGAGTTTCACCTCTACACTGCCAGATTAGGGTATTGGTACCACCATATTTGGCATGCTTTGTTACTTAAAAAGATATATTTCCTGGAATCTAAGGATAGGCATTGGCCCCACTTTGTTGCTTTTGCCCACTTTCCCTTTAGAAATGGGATCAAATTAATTGTTGTCTCTGAGTATGTTGTTTTCCTTCTACCACCACCCATTACCAGGGGGTGGCTAGGTTCTATAAGTCACGGAAAAAGCACTTGATCACCACCCAGACTGAGCACAAATGTGTCTTGGACTCCTGCCGTTCATTGGAAGCTGAGGGCTTTCAGGTTACCTACCTTCCAGTGCAGAAGAGTGGAATCATCAACGTAAAGGTAGGAGTGACTCATGGCTGGAAGGGACAAAATAGAAGGAGCTTGGCTTTAGACAGTAAATTAGTCTCTTCAGCCTCAGCTTGAGCTTGAAGGAATAGATCCAATGGGTAGGGTAGAATTTAGAGAACTCGGACTGTCAGAAGAACTGAGGTTATGTTCCCTTGAGTAGGTGTCAACCTCTTTTTCTCTGCAAGACTTATTTCTCAGTTTCTTAGTCCTTCCTGGTTTGCATGAGAGCCACTGGGCACATGTGCCAGATGCCAGGGACTTACTGTCATGATTGCAAAGCTCTGGGCCCCTCCTCCCTGTAATGTCTCTCAACCCTTTATAGAGGGAGTGTGGTTTTCTTAAAGAATATTTCCCTTTTTGGCCCATTTCCTTATGTGCCCATTTTGAGACATGAGTCCAGTATTACCATCAGATTTTGGATACCAGCATCCCTAGAGAAATCCTAAGATGCACTTTGTAGATAGAGCCTTTACTTTAAACTCTAAATGGTTTGTTCTCATTGTTCTTTGTTTCTTCCCTCTTTCTTCCAGCTCATATACAGTCAGTCAGCACGTCTATGACTATTTCTTTCCAATGTTTCTATACTTGTTCGTTTTCCTCATTCCCTTGTCTGAGCTCCATCCTGGATCTTACCTACCTCTGGACTAAAGCTCTGTTGCCTGAACTTGTCCTTTAGCTACCACCTTCCTATATGTGTTATAGACTGTTACTCAGACTTTATTTCTAAAGTACTCATTTGATGTTTTTGTCACTTTGCCCAAAAACGTTGAGTGATTTCCCATTTCCTTGATGTGAAGTAATTTTGTTTGCTGAAGCTCAAGACCCTTTACATGCTTTTTTTTTTTTCATTTTCAAGCATTGTGAATACACCATCAAATTGTTTACATACCATAAAATTCACCTTAAAGTGTAAAATTCAGTGGTTTTTAATATATTTACAGAGTTGTATAACTATCATTACCATCCCATTCCAGAATATTTTCATTGCCCCTATGCTGCCCCCTCCCCCCAAAAAAAAAGGTTACACTCTTTAGCAGCAGTCACTCCAATTTTCTCCTTCCAACTACAAATCTACTCTCTGTCTCTATGGACAGTGTGTCTATTCTGGATATTTCATAAAATAATGTTGTGTGTCTGACTCTTTTCATTTAGCATAGTGTTTTCAGGGTTCATCTACAATGTAGTATGTATCAGTATGTCATTTCTTTTTTGACTGAGTAATAGATCATTCTCTAAATCTACCATGTTTTGTTTATCCTATGTAATCCTTTTTTTTTTTTACTTGCTATTCGGGTGAA